ATTTTTATTTTTATTTATTTTTCCCCCCAAAGCCCCAGTAGATGGTTGTATGTCATAGCTGCACATCCTTCTAGTTGCTGTATGTGGAACTCGGCCTCAGGATGGACAGAGAAGTGGTGCCTCGGTGCATGCCCGGGATCCGAACCCCGGGCCACCGGCATCGGAGCGCGCACACTTAACCACCAAGCCACGGGGCCGGCCCTGATTTTAACATTTTTGAAGAGTTCAGGCCATTTATTTTATAGAATATCTTTCAATTTGGGTTTTTCTAATGTTTTTTCTTCGTAAAGTTCAGGTTATGCATTTCTGACAGGAGTACCACAGAAGTGAAATGGTATCTTAGCACATCTTATCAGGAAGAATATGACCCATTACTGGTGACATTAATTTATAGAAGTATTTTGAATATGCGAAATGTATCATTATGAAGATGTTTCATGGAAGCCTTACTGTAATATGGTTCAAGTTTCCTAGAGGGGAGATTGCTTTTTTATATAGTTTATTTTTTTTCAACATGCACATTTAACCCACTATGGATATTCTGTACAACTACTAGTAAGCTTTCGTTGAGGCCCAGCTATGTGCAATCTCTATTCTAGTTGCTGTCTTCAAGGAATCTACCATATAGAGGAGTGAACAAAATGAATTAAGTCTTGTAAAGTGTTAAAGATATTAAAAGAGGAAAAAATAAGTCACCCTGGGATGACAGGAAGGCGTCATGTGCAGGGTATCGTATTAATAGTAACAATAATGTTTATTGAGCAGAAGTGTATATCAAGCCCTGTGTCAGGTGTTTAATTTTAGTTTTAGCTTGTTGAATTTTCACCGTGATTCTGTGAGAAATATACTATTATTATTTCCACTTTTACAAATGAGGAAGCTATACAAACCTTATATTTAGCATCAGAAGAGCTATATTTGAGTCTTGATCCTGCTATTGTCTGTGTATTGGTTAGAATAGCATTTTCTGAGTTGATTCAGTGAGCTATTAATAGATGTTCATTGACAAAAGGGTTCCTGATCAACATATGTTTGGGAAATACTATGTACTTTATTGCCCAAGGTAAAAAACAAAAACAAAAACAAAACTGTTAGCCACGTAGCTTAATGTGTGCGCCCAGTCTGAAGTATCCTCTGCACTCTCTGTTATCCTATTTTAGTATCTTTGTAGTTCTAATCACTGACTGCAGTTATTTATTTGCTTCTTTGTTTATGGACTGTCCCCTCCACCATGAAGAATGTTCTGTGAGAACAGAGATTTTATTTATCTTGTTCACTATTGTAACTCTCAAACCAGATCAGTGCCTGGTATATGATAGGCATTCAGTAAATTATTTGGTGAATGAAAGAATGAAGGACTCTGAGAAGGCCTCTTATAAAACAACACTTGTTTTAACTTTAACTCAGCATTTTGAAATGCAGTTGACCATAATATTTTTTTTCTTTGTGGAACACTTAGGAATATCTCAAAGAAATTAATATTCCATGGGACTATTTGAGAAATGCTAGTTTGGTCACTTGTTTTACAGTTTCAAAATATAATAGTCCCATTTATGAAATTCAGTATTGTGCTTACTTATATAAGTATTTGGAAAAAATTAGAGAAGCAAAAATTTTAGTGATTTATATTTCAGGATGTATTTAACTTGCAATGTTTTTATGTTAATGAAGGAAGAGTTGCTAAGATAATTCAAACCAGTGAATAGCTTTAAATCACTTATTTTTAGTAAACGAATTTATTTAGTTTCTTTGGCAGCAAACTTACCATCCTAATTGCATTTTGTATTGGATAAAACAAAAAATAATTTGACTCAAGCAGGGGGTTTAAGCCCAAGGAGAGGTAGTACATGTATTTTTACCTGCGTCAATTGTATTAGGTCCTTGTTTGAAGTAGATAGAGTACTTTAAGAAAAGGAAAAGTCCAGGCCTGGCTTTTTTGCAAGAACATAGTGTCGAAGAATGGACATTTGACTCTTTAGTTAGGTGATCTGGGCTCCAGTGTCTGTTCTGCCCCATAAATAATATAACAAACTTTAGCAATCTGCTTTGCTTACCTGTTTCTTTCTGCCTCTTTTAAATAACCATAGGGGTCTGTGTTTCGGTCTATAATGGAAGAAATTCTTTTATTAAAACAAAATCCAGAATATTTCAAGGTTTGCAACAAGCTATAGATGATAATCTGTAGATGAGGCAGAGTGGCTGGACCAGCTGGACTTAAAGTAAGAAAGGGGGACTGCCCGTCTAGTATAGCC